GCTGATGATCCACGTGATGCCTCTCGGATCTGCCCAGCGACGTTCATCATCATGCCGAAGTTTCACGTCTGAGAGGGATCCCCGCCAAGGTAGACTTGAGAGTAAACATAAGATAGCTTCTATGGTGGAGTATATTCTCCACTGTAAGATGCTGTGGTCAACTTCTGTCTGATCCATAATATTCATCCTGAGCTATTACTATTGTCTAATGGCAGATGAGGAACGCCAGTAAAAGTTATACGGAACGAATACCTCCTTCAACCAACAACAACGTAAAGAGCAAGAGGCTGTCTACATCGCCGACATGATGCGTCGATACACCGGAGGGGATGGTACACTTGATAATGGCGATTAACTGATTCATCATGTACTACTACTGTATTGTGATCAAGACTTACCGAAGACTCCCATAGCTCACAGTAGGATTTGACTTGAATTGAGGTTGTACAATCGATGTTTTTCGGACTTGGTTCAATTCGGGAGGGTTCTGAGAGACCACACTGTGAGGAAGAAAGGCCTCCGAGGAACAGTAGCCTCAGAGATGCAACCGAATAACAATTTTTTCTTCGACTTTGCTGTGAGCACAGTTCGATGATGTCGGCGACATGCAAGCAGCACATCTCCCGAATCATCCTACGCTGCACGTTTCGAAGGCTTATTTCGCTCTTGGAAAGATCAATTTCTTCAGACGGGGCGGCTATGCCACTTTAACTTATGCATTGATCGAATCGATTTCTTCGAATGGGGCGGCTATGCCACTGCAAGATATACCTCATTACAATCAATATGTCCACGCTGGCTGCTATTTCATCCCAAGCCATACCTCAAAACAAGCAATTTCCCTAGATGGGGCGGCTATGCCACTTAAAGTTATGCACTGATCGAATCGATTTCTTCGAATGGGGCGGCTATGCCACACCACTCTAGGCCATAGTACCATAAATTTCACAGTAGAACGAGCTAAGATGATGAATTCCCTTGTTACACGCCCGATTCCGCCCGGAGGCAGATGCGACATTCCTCTTCTCCAATGTGCTCAACTTTGCCATGTATTCAATAGCAGTCGGCTACTGGAAGTCGACACCGCTTTCGGCGCTGAATAGATTGTGATTCCGTTGAGGCCACTATAAGATCCCATGTAGTTTGTGCTCGCGTTGCTTTCTCTCAGCAAGGATAAACGGTGTGGTTGTTCTCCTAGTACTCTCCGAAAGTCGGCTTTCTATCATATTTCGCAGGTTGCAGAACTCTTTCTTAGATAGTCCTCTTTTTTGCAATCCACACTGTGGATACCACTCAGTATTTCCCACAGTACACTACTCCAAGCACGCATTAACGCCAACAGTGAACTGCTCAATGAAGATCTGTTCGTATCTGCTCTATTTAGTTGAGTGTCCGTGCTACTACTGAATATTCGAGGCATTTTGTAACACATTTTGCACACGTCCCTATTGCGAGCCCAACTGAGCAACACAATACTCAATAACAGAGACAAGAAGCATGCTGTTCACGCTCCCACAGTGAAGCCACAACACCTGCACTGGACGATGCCCGGACTCGCTATCACCAATGACGACATACTCAATGCTACGCACGGCTGGGTAGTGGTTGCATGTACAGCCCTTCTGACAGTCTAGAGGGAAGGCGGAGGGAGTGTTCACTGCCGAAGATCCGCTCATCGAGGCGTATGCATGGGAGACGGAAACGTCGTCAATGGCTACACCCTACATGATGGGATACTCAAGGCGCTTGATACAGACTTAAGACCTCGCCGCTTTTAGAGAAGTCCCCTAGAATCTTCATCTTCGACAGATTCCACAATACCGCTGCAATCTCGCACTCCGTTGCATCGGTGAATGGAAGAGCTATTGCATCAGTCCGGATAATTATTGTCCAAGTACACCCACCACTATTCAATGGGTCCTTCATCCAGTTCTCACCAGAGGCGAGTCTCAGCACGGTCGTCTCCTCACTGCCGTCCCAAGTCAAACTTCCAGCCTGATATGACAGGTTGTCACCGCCAGAGCCAACGATGGGAGTCTTGCTCACTTGCGTTTCCCTAACGATCCTCAGACCGCGCTGGTTGTTGCATTCGGCACATTCTAGTGTAACCCTGAGCAGTATACGAGCCAAGTTACTAATGTGCAGCAGATACCGCCCACCAGATATTGGCTTTGTTGAGAAAATCAGAAGTGAAGTCTCCATAGGTGCTTCGAACTGTGAAGGATAGATAGCCACCATAGGCCCCTCGTAGATGCTCAGCTCTGTAGACGGTCGAAGCTGATCGATGGGGGAACTCGAATGCCGTTATGAAGCAACCGCTTCCCTTACTAGATGTAGATAACTATGAATATTGTCATGGGTCGATTTCCGACTAGAGCGTTAGCGTGAAAGTAATGCGTGTGCACACTGCTTACCAGTGAGATTGTAAAGTGGATTGTACTGTGGTGACACGAACTTCCACTGTACTATATCCGACCCATCGCTGAAGTCAGTGTACATGATGTCATCATAGCCCAGACAGTAACTGTTACACCATTGTGCGAACTATATGCACCGATCTCACCGATCGAGACCCCCCAAGGTGTACGGCTGATGCTCTGGAGCCGTTACCTGACCATCACAGCTCGGCGTCATGTCGATGGGGTCCCCGTCACGGGGAGCAACCAACCTGATTGCCATTGTCTTCGATGGTCCATCCTTGACAGCTGTCTGTGAAGCTGGATGCCGCTACGAAACCCTGGCCGTTAGCGAAGACCACCGTTCTGTGAACATGTAATCTGGCTGGGTCCGAGGAAAGGGATCACCCTAGATCGCTGGTGTTGGCCGAAACCGGCTCCTTCACAGAGTAATGAATATGTGCCCAGCTCCCTGAAGACCGCTTTAGAAGAGAACTAACTAGACCACCATTTTTCACCTTCAAAATCCTCTGCATAATCGACTGGTGGCACGTAGACTATCCGGGCGTAAGCATCAGTTACCTATTCCAGCATCGAATGATCATAACAATCCTATGTATGCTATTCATGCTTCGTAGGAGAGTACAGTCGAAGAGAAGCGCACTCACCAGACTGCGTTCGAGAATGATGGGCAGTGGGACAATGCATTTATTGAGACCCGGATACGATATATACAATAAATCAACAGTATAACATGAAGCTCACGGCTAAGCATGGAATTGACCGATGGAAGATGTCCGAGAAGCACACTCTTACCTTGAACGGCAGCATGTATTCCTCCAGCACTACTGGGGCTGTATAAGGTGCTGCATTAAAGGATCGGTACGACTGTGAAGTCTCGTACAGGTCTCCTCGCTCAGGAAGGCTCTCGATGTAGTACTCAAGGGAAGCGCTGGCGTCTTCATGACCTGCACTTGGTTTGTACGACTGCTCACAGAAACGCTGAGCCGACCTGGCAAGGTGAAAACAGTCGGTGTCTGAGGCAGAACTGTGATAGTGAGATGCCGCGCTATAGGGTTGGTCTTATAGGACTACTGAAGAGGAGTCGATGCTGGCCTGGCGAGGTGTGGCAACACTACTGGTGGATAGATATTGTCAAGGTCGCTCAAGACGGGATCGCTCGATAACAGGAACAGCAACAGGGGAATATATTGGAATCGATGTGAATTGCTTCGAAACATTGCGTGTTCGAGTGAAATCCTGATGATGGAAAACGCCAAGTCGAACCGCTGATGGTGAGAGCTCTCTCAGTGCTCGAGAGATAGCTGTACAACGGAACTGCGAATTGGAATGGGACGCAGTTGCATGCTGATCGAGAGCAGGGATGGCGAAGTCAAGAACATGTAAGTGTACAATACCAAACGCCCTAAGCCTGTACAATGGTGTCGTTGGTTATGACCACAGCCTAATACCAGACGTCTAATGAGCCAACTCTCAATCCTAGTTATTACTAATCGTAATGTGGCGAAGTCGCGAGTGGAATTTATGCCTACTGTTATCAAGGACGTTATGATCTAAGGACATCCCACTGAGCAACTTCACACCTCCGGCAATACCTCCATATTGATGAACCCAACATACACGAGCAAAAGGGAATAGCAGCAGAGGCTCCTTTCCTGTCCACCTCAAGCTGACACTGGAGCGTAAAGTTGGGTAAATGGAGCTCTGCAATGGTCAGCATAACCACAACCATGTGAGCCATCGAAGATAATACTACCTGAATTGGAGTTCGATGGCTTGGTCGAGGAGTGGTAGACTGATGTCGTGGCCGATCTCCCACGGTGGCTGCTCAACCGACAGACTCCCATCAGGATTCACAGTACCAACAGCATGGACAACGATACTGAGCAAGCACCATTTCCAAAACTATCCTACTCGAAGCTTTGCTACTCTGTTCCCCCTCGAGAGGCCGAAGCCGCCAGACCTTGCACACAGAGGAAACCCTGCTCAGGACGGCAGATTATCTCCCCGGTGTCCGATGCCATCACAGTGAACATACCATTTTGGGGGTTCGGCTGGCTGGCCAGCTGAAGAAGATCGGTTGCATTAACACTCAACGTCGAAATACAGGCAAGAGTGAATCGCTAGAACCCGTGACTATGCGTAACCGGTTTCCCTACACTTCAGAAAAATGTATCACAAGGTTAACGAGAAGCACAAAACCCTTCATACGAGCTGCGTTATTCGGTTGGAAACGTATTACCTTCCCTATCAGCCTCACACGCTGTCCCACCATCCTCTGTATGTACCTCTGATTGACCAATGGACCCATTGTAGTGTCCGCGGGCCCGCCTGACATCTGGTGATCGATACGCTCAATTAAATATCTTCACAGCAATTCACCACCAGCCGTCCATTGAACCACTGAGGAACTCAAAGAGGATATTACAATAACAACTGAAGCCTGTCATGCAGTCATGTTCTCTTGCTTGGAGAATTCACACTGCCCTTCAGAATCGCCACCAGACTAGTAGGGAGCAGACAGTGATTAAGTAGATCAAATTAATAGCTTCCGGGAAAGGCTGATATGGTGGGAAATTTTCTAATCCCCACTGGCATGGTTCGAATCTTCTCCCAAAGCCCATATAATCCTCATGCTCGTTGACTCCTACCGTGTCTCTACATATTTTCAATAACCGTTGGATCTGGCTGAAAACAACAGGTCCAGGGAACGAACTTGGGATCTAGAGCCAACCTCATACATATTGCAGAGATCTAATGCTCCCTTTCTCCGACTATAATATTTAACGTAGCCGAAAGAATTCCTCCGGAGTTGAAGTGTACCCATCCTGAGCTCATCCACAACTAATTCACGTCCTTTCTCAGAAGGCCTGTCAGCGAACGCTGACTGAACAATAATATACTCTGCACCAGTCCCGTATAAAGGCAGACGACTATCGCCTCTACTAGCAACCACTTCGAGCCACAATAGAGGTGTGCTGGATTCATAGGGTACAGATAATGAGAAGTGAGAATGTTTTAGTCCCTTGAGGATACAAAGGATTGTCCTTCATAATTGCGATGTAGTTGTGTATCTGGGGTAAAGCTAGTATGCTGATCTGCTACGATTGAACTTCCATAGATCTTTCAAGCTGTTATTAATCTTACGTTCTCACGAGATCAGATGGTGTTTCGTTAACTCAAAAGGATATTGGAAAACCGTCATAGCGGTTCCTTCTTGAAATCAGGCGAATAAACTCTCTACTACTCAGAAGGTAGCGTCACTAAATCCAAAACATATCTCCCAATCACGATACGTGGAAACAATGTTGCCCTCACACTCATTCACAAACTATCGCAGAGTTCCTCACGACACAGCGCACATTCCGTCATGACATGATTAATATCAGGCTTCTCGTAGGGTAGTCCACCTAGAGTAATCCGCGCCTGGGCTAGCTCCTTGAACTTGCCCATTTCTCTCAAAGTCGCCGACAAGTGGACACCAACTTCTGCATCGTTTCCCAACGCTTTCCCTGCTTACGACATCAACTACCATATTCACCCCTGTTCCACATTTGTTATACTACCGTACTCAAGCGGTATGGTATAGAGATGTCACCGAGGCCGACGCTGTCAGTCTGTATAAAGTCATTTCTTGCCCTCCTGCTACTCCATTCTCGACAGGGGCACTCACCCAGCTAATAGGTAGTGAAGCAGTAGCCCCTCCCGCGTCCGAGAAGAATAGAGTGCCCATGGTACTCTCTATGCCCATCATTGCCTCTAGCACGAATAGTCAAGATCGATCACGCAGAGCTCTCCTGTATAGCCCAGGGAGGGTGATGAACGATAATAGCTGCCGGCGATGATAACAACAGTGACAGGCGTACGTTGAAAAGCATTGAAAGCAGCGATTCGAACGCGACGGGAATCAACGTGAGGTAACGCGGTGTCACTGACGCCTAATGAAGCCATACGGTGCCTCTTGATCATTGGAAGACGAATGCCTTGAAAGAGAGACGCATCAAACCCTGCTTTCTTGCCCTCTGTGGCTACCCGGGAGAGGGAAGTAAATCGCGCACAATCGTGAATCATGTACCTGCGCATCTTCGATTGGCCTGCGCCCGATGTCGTTGCGTATCTATCGGTTTCGGATCTAACGGTTTCGGATTGGAATCACCAGATTCACAAACTGATAGCTTAGTCCGACCTAAAATATAGGATATTACTGATAGTCCCTCCGGTTAAGTCTATTTATATTCATTTTTCGGCGCCTCCGTTTGGCAGCAATCGGAGACAAAAACACCTGCAAAGGTAAACCCCCCTCCAGTCTCTCGGTCTGTCGTTGCTGATCGGCTATCTGCTAATCTCTAATCACCGTATCGTCTCGTCTTGCCGCGCTGAGCAGTGGAAAGTATGGCTATAACTGGACCTAGTCCTAAAGGTAAGGCTGAGGCTGAATCTAAGTCATCGATTTCGTATTGCTTCGATAATCGAAGTTCGATTAACGTGATGATCCTCTATCCGGCGATGAAAGCAGGTCGTTTCCTCCTCTGTCTCCATCCTCTCACCAACGCTGTTCACAGCTCGAATTCCCTGCGTTGCACAATTTTTCCCGAGTGATTTTTTTCCGACGGCAAAAGTCCTCCCCTCTTCTTAAGCTGCGGCACTGCTCAATAGTTTTAGTGACCTATTTGTTCTCCAGTATATCGTATGTGTCTCCAGCACTATACGTAACGCCGTATATGATATATCGCTAATAGCACTATAGCTCTGTGCTCCCGATGTGTTGTCATACGACGCCAAATCCTCAGTTTGCTTCTACATTTTGCCGTTTCACAAGGCGATCCCATGTTCTTTCTGTTGTTTTCGTTGGGGAGGGCAGCCGTTGAGCCTTCTCGCAATGACAGAAGTCGGCTCTTGCGTGTTTAAGGGCGATAGCTCACTAGGTCCGTAATGCTTGGCAACAGATCCATCCCTCTCTCTATTAGATTGAACTGACTCTAGATGGGAGCTCGAACTGAGAGTGCTGGGAGAACCACGCGAGCCCGGCCTTGACGTTGAAAGCCCAGATACCTCCGACCAGCAGAGACAGAAGGTGAGTGTGTCCATACCACGACAAGGGCATTCATGACTTCTGTCTCCGGTTGAAGGCTACGTTACGGATTGCTCCCCCAAAAGCACTGGAGTCTCCCTCCGGGGAGAGAGTCGCGGTTGGCACGTTTCATAACGGCTTACTCGAGCTAGGTGCCGTGAGGATCCCATCGAATACTTCTTTTTCATAAGATGTTTTCTCTGGGCTAACCCGATGCTGATCCTTCCTATCATCCTCGCCATTGTCCTCCGTGCCAGTCTGCCAGCTCGAGCTCAGCCATTGATCGTCGAACAATCCGACAATCATGTGAGGTTCCTAGCAGGATTGCTCGACCGTGTCACCCATACTTATTAGGTCAAAAGTCGACTGCATCTCGCCCACGAGGAGGACGGTGTGAGGGTATGATTGATGAACTCCGATGAGCTCCTCGGTTGGTGTCAGGTGGAAAAGGTTTGCGTTTTCAGCAACCCTCTAGATGGTTCGGAATTCCCCTCACTTTCTGTGAGTTTTCAACGTATAATATCTCACACTTGATTTTCCTTAGACTGGCTGCAAGGCTCGTGAAAAGCCAGAGAAGATTAAGGTGGTAGTCGTGCAGTGTTCAAGTGTGTCGATCTATCATCTCTCAGTTCAAGCCTTGGTCTCAACTTCCTCCGGCTAGCAACCTCGAAGTAGGCGTTTCCTACCCCACAGTTTAATCGAGCGTGTGCAGATAACTGACGGAACCAGCATCGAGGCTGGCGGTATCCTCTTGATGTTCGACAGAGGAGCTAGCGTTGACAGAATGGATGACTGTTCGTTATTGCGTTTACGAAGCGCTACATGTCCACCATTGCGGAAGCTGGTCTACCCAGCAGAAGGGCGAGCTAAGTAAACGGTCCGTGACGCGGTATCGAGTCTCCCACAGTCTTTTCCTCCAGGTCGTACAATGCATCTGAGACTAATCCCGAGCATGTTATGGCGGAGTAATGGTAGTCCATGAAGGCTGTCATTGTTGAGGGCCTCATTGGGCAGGGTCTTCCCCATTGTGAACTTGGATAATCAACAAGCTAGTGATGGTGATAGCAAACTGGAGCTGGCTCCCGCGAGGTAGTAGGATGGTGGGACCTATTTCTAGCTCGATCGTCCTATCGTTAGGGGTGGTATGTACGAATTTCGAGTGAATGGGAGCTCTGATGAAGCCCTCAGGGAAGCCATTGAGCTCCTCTATACTCTTCTACCCCCACCAGCATGGGCTCGTAACACGGCCGAGCTGCCCACCACGATGACGGCTAATGAGTACCTCACTCGGGCCATGTGCCTTCATATACGAGGAGGATACGAGAATCTTCTCGCGTCGTTCCCGCCAGCTCTCCCTTATTCGATAGCTCGACCGGAGTGGATGCAGTACTTTAGTGTTAGGGACATTGGGGATCCGCCTAATGAGCTCGACCATCTCATGCTCGAGGTGAGTCTGCCAGAATGCTATCGCTGTGGTGTTCCTTATCCTATCGTCACAATACGTTGTTACAAGCGGAATACGTGGGCAGCATCTCGTCGTGATGTTGCCGCCTGTGATAGGTTACGGAGTCTCCACAACAGAGTGGAGGAGAGTCAACAAGAATGGATGCCAGCGCGGACAGTTCCGTGCTTGCGGCAATTGGTGAACGCCCGTCACCAGCTTCGATAACGGTGAGTAACGCCAGGCATTGTTGCCGTTATATGTGCCTCGTGTGAGTACCTACGAGAATGGTTATGCTTTGTGGTTAGGTCGAGAAGGAGAAGTGGACTCCATATTGGGTAGTCACGGCAAGTGAAGGCGACTTGCACTTTGAAATCGATAGCTATGGGTTATTGGTCTTGGCAGACGCAACATGCCCGCGTTGGTGAGCATAGTTTAGATAGTGCGTTATGTCAGTCGTCCTGTTCAGGGGTCGTCCAACTCCCCGAAAGCCAACTACTAGGCTCGGGCTTAGGTAGGTAGGAAGCTCGAACTGGAATTACTGTCTTCGACTTGTTCTGAACTAGACATAGTAGTAGCTATAGGTATATTAAACAAGTTGTATATTGTAGATGAAAAAACTGTAGCCTAGCTCAACTACGAAGACAGCAGACAATAACGTGATTGTGTCCAACCACAACAGCTGCTACAGGGTCAAAAGCATGGCGTTCCTTGTATGTTATTGTTTTCAGTGCATTCCCAGCCGTATTCGATGACGGCACTACTTTCTTACGTCGGAGCTCGGATCCACCAGGTGTGGCGATTTTGATGAAGGAGACTAGGAACATCCGGCTAGCATTGGCACGACTTTTGGAGGTGGTGAAGATGCCGACAGAGGTGGAGTACACATATGAGGCGTCAGCTGGCAACACATTCCTCCTCAATGCAATATGCTCTCACGTCATCGCTGATCCCTATACAGGTGTTGGGCCGAAGTTGTTGAATGTAAGCATCTACCTGGTCGCGCATATTGTATTGGGAAGGCATTTACAATTCCCTAGAGCGATAGAGTCCGTGTCAGATCGTGGACAATAGCACCGTTACCACGCTAGGGTACGGCTCGATAGTGGTAGGCTGAGTGAGAGCAGTTTCTTCTGGCACCATATGCTCATACGATCAGATGGCGTCCCCTCATCTGCTAGTTCGAGCTAAAGATATTCCTCCTGCTGTTATTGGACTTCAAGTGAGCTCCTACCTTTCATTTAGGCTCGCAAATTACATCTAGCTGTTCACCGCATACTTTTTCACACGTGTTAGCATATTCTTAGCTTTGCTCTGTATGCCTGTCGGTGGACGGGCGAGCGGTTCCTCGGACTGGCCTCATTTGGTTGGAACCTCCAACTTGGAAGTAACTCAGAAAGTGTCAATGTTATTGTCGTTAAGACGAGCGCTCAATGGATGCGCGTATCAAACGCGCGTCAGGCATTGAAAACTACTAGCTGGAATCACTACCAGCCATCTCTATAGCGATAGTCATATATGAAGCTCTCGATGCCAGTTACGCATGCATGGTCATTACCGTTTGCGAAGCTCGCTTGCTTTCCTCGTGGAAGCATAGTTGGGTGTGAGATGTCTCCCAGGTTGATCGGACGACCGTCTACTCCCAAGACTCGCGTTTCTGGATTCAGTTCGATGTCGATGCTGATAGCGAGGAGTTCCTCGTCCTCCGCGCTGCCGTGTGCCCTCTCCGTAGGGAGTTGGTGTATGGCGTATCAAAGCTCGTGTAAGTCCCTTCTACCTATCTGGAGCGGATTCAGATCCGATCTGATTGGCTAGGAAATCAGCATTCAATGACTGTCAGATTCACCAAGACCAAAGGAAGGGTTGTATATAATGCACAGTAGGAGAGTAGAGGAAGTTGAGATTCCGCATCAGATTCGTTCAGAGCATTTCCTGCCTTCCCATCTGGGGACCCGGGTGTGGCTCAACGACGGAGTCGGGCGGTTGGCAAGTTCCTGTTCCGCACAAGAGCGGATCGAGAATCTATTCAGGGCTCGATTAGGAGCCTCTACACGTTAATGGGTGGTTTGCCTTGGCATGCTGCTACCTTCAGCATGATCGAATCCACGGCGAATGATCACTTTGTTCATGTTATGTGTACTCGTTTACGAGGATACACCCCGAGTATTCCCTATAGGAGAAACGTTGGCATTCCACCTGAAGCGATGGAGGCGGCTGGGAAGCCTGAATACTCTGTGGAGCCGCTTCCGGGTTGGATTGGTAAATTTAAATTGGTGGATCCCTTGCTCAGCGTTGGAGCCGAAAGTTATCCATTGAGAAATTACTTGATGATGGGGGTAAGCTCATAGAGTTAGGTCTTTCTGGTAGAGAAATGACAAAAATCCTGTGGTAACGGTATTGTGAATGCCTCGGAAGCAGCGCTTCATGACAACATGCGTATGAGGCCTTGTTTGAAGCACTTTCGTTGTTCAGGAGGGACTTTAAGTGTTAGTCGGAGTGTTACTAGCTGTTTCAGGAGGAGAGCTTGTCGCCGGAGGATGAGGGTGTTTGGGAGAATGGGACTCATGTCGACTCTAAATGGCTGGAAGAATATAACTATATTTACGGCAACAGACCGTCAGTCGACGGGCTCAAGGTGATAGCTCTATGCGACGCAATATGCCGCTAGTTCTTGCTTCAATACAGATCCGGGGAGGTGTAGTTACCGATGGCCCTTTCGAACTCCGTTTCCGTGTGAGGACCATATACGGTCTTACCGACAAAGGGGAAGGTGTGTTGGAGCTTCATTCGGCAATCTGCCCATCGTTGTAAGATGTGTTACTCATCGTCACATTGAGAGAAATTCTCCTTTGCAGCGATGCTCCTAGCCCACTGAAGCCATTGATGAGGCGATATGATTACAGGTTAGGAACGTTCTGGCAAAGATGGCGCCATACGGAATCGATCTTAGGCTCTTCCCGACGGTTTTCGATGACGATAAACTCTTCTCATGGACCAACTCAAGCCTCCAACACGGCGTAAGGATTCTTGCCCACCCCGAAAATGATCTTGCTCTTGATCGTGCTATAAGGATGGTGTATAAAGTGTTGCCGAAACCGATAGACGCGAAACGCAATGCTGATGCGACGCAGTACTTTGTCGATGCCCTTTGCCAACACTTGTTGAAGGAGGAGGATCTATTCATGGACGAAACTCCGCCGGACATCAGGTCGACTAGCGAGATTGACCCTGCCGCGGAAGGGGATTCAAATAGGGTCGTTGAGGATCCACCCGACAGTGAGGACGACTTCATCAAAGGCATATGGTCCACTTCGGAAAAGCGAGGACTGAAGTCGAGCTTAATACCAGAAACACCTCGTTCCATTGTTGCTAGAGGCCACAAGAAGCTAAGGAAGTTTTTCGAGAATCTCGTCTCGCGGAGGCCTATGCGCTGATGTCATGCTTTTGTTGTTGATGTTACGAATCTGTGCTCGTGTTGTCTATGTTGCGTTATAGATAAATATGATTTGTCTGCCACTATGAGTGCTGATATGAGCACGCGCAGCGAGTCGGAAAGGTGAGACTGGGTCGTCGCAACCTAATAGGATGCGTAGATTTCTGAGGGTAAATGGGTGGGGGATTCTCGAAGATCCAGGATCTTTCGGGCTATATATATTCATATTGTGTCCTCTAGCATATGATCATTGCTCTACACTTTTTTAACTGGTTTCTTGTCCCAACAACCTATCCACGCGGTGATGGCATGAACAAGGGGAGGTAGTAGCTCCCCTTGTGCGTTCCGTGATGGCTTGGTGAGCATCGTAGTACGATGCTTATAGCGAGGCAGTATTAAAGGTGTTTATCTTGTAGGATGGCCCTCCTATATTCCACCCCAACTCAACCACTCCGTTAGCTGCATATTGTTCGTGAATTGTGAATGGTTCTCCTATAGGCACGGTCTGTGAGCATCTTGCTAAGCATTCTCCGAGAGCATTGATGCGGAGTCCACAAGCACACCATACTTCAAACAGTTCATGGACAGTTCTTCATGTCCATCTTGAGTGGTACCTCTACAGACTAGTGGAGGGTTTGCTGCTGTGGACTTCTTATTAGCATCTTCCTTGCACAGTTGAATGCCCACCGATCATTATCATCCAGTAGGACAGCGCTACTCCCCTCTCACTGCTGCTTCGTCCGCTCCACTAGCAGGAAGGAGAGTTGCCGTCATTGGATCGGGCCTGGCAGGTAGTTACCGTTGGTGCACCACGTATTGGGATGCACGTATTGTCGCTAAGGCCGGGGATTACAACCTTCCGTGATACTGTCAGTGCTATCGACTGTGGACTATCGTGCCGCTTTTGGGGCTCACTTCTTCGAAGATTCGCATTGGAAGGGTTCATATCGATATTAGGTCTCACTACTGCCTGGGCCCTCTGCAGTTGTGTCGGTAGCGCCATAGAGGAGGTTACAGTATATGAGCGTGCTGACAAACTAGGACTATATAGTCAGTCGTTGGAGTAGTAGTAGTAGTAGTAGTAGTAGTAGTAGTAGTAGTAGTAGTAGTAGTAGTAGTAGTAGTAGTTGTTGTTGTTGTTGTTGTGCAGCCTTTGCCGACCCTTTCGGGTGTGCGGCCTTGTCGCTGCTCGGCCTGCGGCCGCCGGTGGATGTCTTCCCCTCCGGGGCCCCCCCTTTTTTTTCTTTTTTTTTATCTTTTTTTTTCTTTTTTTTCCTTTTTTTTTCTTTTTTTTTCTTTTTTTTTCTTTTTTTTCTTTTTTTTTCTTTTTTTTCTTTTTTTTGTGGGGGGAGAGGGTCGAGCCACCAGTAGATATATAGCGTGCAGAACAACAGTATAGCAGAAAACGAGGAATGAACAAACCCATACGAACTACAATGGTATCAATGGTATCAAATGGTAACAATTGTCTTCTACAAGAGTGCACCCATATAGCGCGGTACAGGTTGCGCCCCATTGCCCCTAGAGGCCATCACGAATGTCGCGTCGCTGCCTGGCGCAGTACGCCACCACCCCGAGTAGTGGTGTTTGGCCAAATCCTTCGCAACATCCATACGAGGGTATGAAGTTTCCCCCTATCCGTCAGAAAGCCGGCGATCTTCGCCGGCAGGTACCCCAACCTCCGCTTCACCCACTGCCGTGTGCGTACGTGGGCTGGGCAGACGTAGATGACGTGCTCCACACTCTCCTCAGCGGCCCCGCACCACGGGCAACTTCTGGAGGATCCTCCCACTCTGGATTGGAGCTTGGCAAAGTGAGCCTTGTGAGCCCCGTGCCCCGTTATCACCTCCACTATCCTGCGGCGATCGTCCCCCTTGCTGACGCCCTCGAGAAGCTTCCTGTGGGCCCTCCCCAGATCTACTCTACTTGAGCGCCATCCCTTGAGCCCCACCTTCCTCTTCTTCCATTGCGGGTCGATCACCCGGAATTCGTGCCAGTTTCTCACCTTCTGCCGTACATGCGCCCATGGGATTCTGACCCTCCATCCGTCGATCACACCGGTTTGAGCTGCTTGTCGGGCAGCCAAGTCTGCCTAGGCATTATGGTGGTGCCCAATGTGAGCTTTCGCCCACCGCAGTCTAAACGTCATCCCCCTGGCTTGTACCGCCTCCAACAGATCTCTGGCGCAGACGCGCGCTTCGAAAATTATCGTCGGCACTAGCTTGTCCGCCCCTCCTTGGCTTATCTCTCTCAGTGCAGAGAGGCAGTCAGACACAACTTCTACGGCCGCCCCCAGGTCCGGCGAACCGCTCCTCAGCATGGCCAGGGCTGTTTGGCAGGCATAGGCTATGCCGTGCGCCTCGGCCTGGTATACGGTGCCGTGTGGCATATGTTTCCTTCTCCAGCAGCCGGTGACTCTACCAGAGGTGTCGATCATTATGATTCCGCTGCCCACCTTGGCGTCCCTTCCAAGCGGCCCACAGCCCGGAGTTCTACTTCCATCTGTGTAGAACTGGCTGGTACCGAGAGTGTGCTCCGGATTGCCGTCAGTGTCCAGTGAGATCGATGGTTCATGACGCGCAGTCCTCAGGAACCGGTCAACCTCGACCTCGCTCGCTATGCCTGTTGCTTCCTGTACTAGTTTACGTTCCTTCTTCCGCAACGGCCAGCCTTCGAACAGACCCCTTTTTGCCAGCCTCTCCACCACCGTGATCACTGGCCATTTCCAGTCGCATAGCTTGTTGACCGTCAACGTTGGCGACGAATGCATGGCTCTAAATGCTTTGCGAATCAGCGCTGCTCTGAGGGTATCCATCTTACGTCCCACCCACTTGAAGGCGAGTGCCTCCCCCCAAACCTCGCATCCATAGCAAAGCCTAGGGATGACAACTTTTTCCCAGAGCCCTTTCAGAACGAGGTGATGGAGGGATGCTCTTCTGCGGCAGATCGATACCACTCTTCGGACCAGGCCGCACGCTTTCTGGACTGCGTACTTGACGTGGCTATCCCAACAGAGTCTTCTTCCTGCCGGGCGTACCATCAGCCCCAGCCATTTCGCTTGATCCTGCAGCTTCTCACGTAGCTCCGCGACCTTCCCTTTTAGCTCCTCTTTCTCCCCTGCGCTGCCGAGGAAGAGTTACTCCTCTTTCTCGGGTGCTAGAGTCAGACCTCTATTTTCGGCCCAGTTTTTGATAACTGTGCGCATCATGAGGATAGCCTCTGCGAGGTCGCTTACGCTTCTCGCCTTAAGAGCCAGCGCTATATCATCCGCATATATCACGAGCTTCGCACTGCACCCTTCTGGGAGAATCTCCTCCATTCGGTCGACCCTGGCCGCTAGGTCCCCGGTGTGGGCTGCGAACAGGATAGGGCTTGCGCTCGAACCCTGGGGAGTACCCCGAGTTCGCACCCTGTATGCCCTCCCTCCTTCTGCTGTGACCAGCCGAACGCCCCTGCCCTGCAAGAAAGACTCGAAGAGAGGGGCCCACTCCTCTCCGAAGTTCACCTTTACCGCCTCGACGAGGTGGCACCATTCGCATCTGTCGAAGGCAGAACTGATGTCCTCCAATAGGAGACAGGCAACACCTTGCCGGCTTGCCGTGGCGTTGGCGCCCCTCAGTGGTCCGCTGACCTTGGACTCCACGAACCATTGGACCTCCCTTACCGCTGTAACCGGTGATCGTCCGGGCCGGAAGCCATGGATCTCCTGCGGAAGGTTCGCAACTTTGTCTCTCAACCTCTGCAGGATCACTTTCTCCGCCGTTTTGCTGAGGCTGCGCAGCAGGGTGATGGGTCGGACGCAGCGTAGCTTTGCCGCCATACCCGGCCCTTCTGGCGTGCGCCCCGGCTTTCCCAGCAGAATGACCTTACTGAGCTTGAAGACTTCGGGAAATATGCCTAGCCTCAGCATCGCCTCGTAAACAACTCTCATCTCTTCCAGGAACGCTCTGCTAACCTCTGTGGCCCGCTGAACGTGTTCGAATGCCGTCTCGTCATCCCCCGGACAGCGTCCTCGCGGGAGAGAGCGCACAACCTCTAACAGCTCATCCATCGACAAGCTCACAGCTCTGACTGAGCTGTCCCGCCGTTCCCCCTGTGTCGCACCAGTGAGGTCCCGAGCGGCCCCGAGAAAGTGCTCAGCCGCGGCTTCCGGATCCATCTCTGACGGGGTGTTGGCTTTTGATCTCAGCCACCTGTTAGCTGCCTCCTCCGACATATTCTCTACGAACCCTTCCCAGTGCCGTTTCTTTGCGGCGCGTATCCCGCTGGCATATTCCCGGCGTGCAGCCAGTTCTAGCTGCCTAAGAGTCTGGTCCTCTGGGGACCTCCTGGCCTTACCTCTAGCCCTCTGATAGTTCCTCTTCAGGAGCGCAGTGCGGTCGTTGAACCAGTCCTTCCGGTTGGTACTTGGGCCTTGAAGGTCGGGAACGCCACCCTCGGCGATGACCTTAGACCTTTCCGAGAAGAGAGGCTGGTATTTGGCCTCGTAAGTCTTCTCCAGAGCACGGGTCTCGATCTCCTGCTGACGGCGAATGGCTGCGTACTCACTGTCGAGCGAATCGAGCTTCTGGATTATGGTGGAGTTGATGGGAGAAGACATCAGATGAACCTTGGAGGGACAAGTAGAAACGCTGAGTTGGAGTACAGATCGATTGCATTCATTGCAACCTAATTTGTATCCTGCGCGCTCAACCTTAAGATACTCCACAACGAAGTGATACCCG